CGCAAAAATTAAATTCCAAATAGAACAAACCCCATCTGCCTTTGTAAAAATGAGAAATGTACTTTGCAGTTACTCTCTTACCATTGACCTTAGAGTTCAAATGACATCTTGCTACATCTTTCCTGTTATGCTGTATGGAGTGGAAGCGTGGACTCTAATTTTTCTACTACTGATATCACCATCATAAGTGACTCGACAATCCATTGTGGATCTTAGCCTATTCACAAAGAAGTCGCCACTCCTGTCGATTGCTGGTAACTTTCCTCCATCGCCTAACCCTTAGAATCTGTAGGTCTTCTTCCACATCATCAATCCATATCATTCATGGTCGTCCTCTGCTTCTTGTGCAATCTGATTTTGAAAATGTTAATCTCTTCGTGTATTTGTGATTTGACATCTTAGCAATGTGTCCAGCTCATCTAAGTCTTGGAAAATCTTTCTAAACATTTTTCTCTCAAAAATACCAAAAAGTCTTTCATGATTTTAAGATAAGGTCCACGTTTTGGCCCCATATATTAAAACCGGTCTTATTAAGGTCTTGTCTATATGTTAAGCTTTTCTGCTCGTTTTATATTATTATTTTTTAAATGTTTCTGGAGACCGTGACCAGTTCTGTTTGCTGTATGAGTCTTTTTATTTCGTCGCTTGTCGTATTTGTTGCGTTTACTAGCGATCCAAGATATATAAATTCGATGACTTACTTAAAGGTATAGTTGTTAATTTGGATTCTCTGTTGTATATTTTGAGGGTTTTTAGAAACCAACATAATTTGGTTTTTTTCTCGTTTACCACAAGTCCTAATTCAATTGCTGCATCCACAAGCCTTGTAAAACAATGCACCATGTCTCTCATACTTCTGCCATCTATAACTATATCATCAGCGAATGCGAGAATTTGCGTCGATCTATTAAAAATAGTTTTATTCATTCTAATATTTAATTGTCTGATTGCCTTTTCCAAGACAATATTAAAGAGGAGATACGCCAACGCATCCCCCTGTCTTAGACCATTATTATTGTCAAAGAACGTAGAGTTTTCTCTTGCAATTCTAACGCATGAGCTTACGTTTTGCATTGTTAGTTGGGCCAACTTAACTAACTTAGGTGGGAGCCCAAAGTCTATCATTGCAGTTCTTTTCACACTGTCATAGGCTGCTTTAAAGTCAATGATGAGATGCTGTGTATCTAAGTTATATTCTAGTGACTTTTCTAGAATCTGCCTATGTGATTGAATTTGATGTGTAGTTTACTTTCCAGCAGTAAATCCGCACTGATTTTGACCAACAATATCCTTTGTAAAATGTAATCTTTCAAATAATACATTGCGGAAGATTTTATACGTAGATGCTTACAGAGTAATGCCTCTATAGTTCTTACACTCCAGTTAATCACCCTTTTTGTGCAACGGATATAGTATTCCCTTCAGTCACTCTTATTGTACCCATTCATTCTGTCATAAAACTACTATTAGTTTATGGACTGCTGCAAAGTTCTTCTACTGATATGCCTTCAAAAAATTAAACGTAGGTAATTAAATGTTCATTCTTATTGCAATCTGTTGCGTCATCAAGCTGAATCAAAAATACCTTGTCGCGCAACTTCCCGAGCAGCTAATCGGGTATGTCTTCAGTTAGATCAACCATTTGACGGGCAACAGTATCATATTTGATAAAGTTATAGACTTCAATTTTTTGGCAAAATTTTCTCCAAACATAGTTTTTACAATTTTTATTGCAGCTGGCAAAATATGCTCTTTACCTATAGTGTAAAGCTTTTTACACCTGGCTATTTGATATGAGACTTTATAAAAGGCATTTTTTATTCACTGTCAAAGTTTTTTTTAAGATGTTTGCTTTTAATGTTATTTTAGGTGTTTGTTAGTGTACTCACTACGAGTATAAAGTGTTTCCAAATGCCGTTTAAGTTTATAGGTTTGATAATGTGGGCTGCTAAAATTTTTAAGCATATGATTCACAGAGGCCTTTCTCTTTATTTTTTTTAGTAAAGGTAAACTCAAAATTTAGTTATTCTTGATTTTATTTTTTTAACTACTCTCGCCGGTGCTTCATTTGTATCGAATGCTCGCTTACGCCCAGTTAAGAGTTTATCCATAATTTTGAATAAATTTATATTTACTGCTTACGATATTTTAATACCGTGAACTGCAATTAACAAGCAAACTACTACATACAGATTTACAATAAATTTAACAGATACAAAAGAACTGATTCGACTAAGACTGATCAGAACTGAGGAGATACAGATGGTTGAGAATGTTCGAAATAACTGAACTTCTTGCTAAGAGAGACATTGGTTCCGGATCGGTATTGCCACATATCAATAAATTTACTTATTCTCGGTATTCTCGGTTCAACGACAAAATACTTAAGGTACATTATTATTGCCTACATTTATATTGTTATTGTATGTACGAGAAAAGGAGCGGTGAAAATAATTACAGAAAATTTTGTCGCAAATGGTAAAAAATTGAGAAACGCTGTCTTAATAGATATATTCAGTATAAGTTTCCCACGAAGTGAAACTGCAAATAAAAATCGGTTTAAATTTAGTACAATTTAAATTAATTTGAACATTGAGATAGTAAGAGCTTTCATTTGCTTCCCTTGTAATTTCCAAATCTTCTAATAAATTCAACTCCAAGTAGATTTTCTTTCTACTAATGTCATGTTAAATATATAATCCGGTATTGATAATAAAATTATTTTTACTGGACATTAAATTGTGACCAAAACTTAACGAGTTTGGTCTGTTAAAATGTTCTGTGATTCTAGTAGATAACTTTAGAATGGTTCTACCTACATAAGGGGCATCACAATATCACATCTTAATTTATAAATACCACTCTTGTCAAAAGTGTTCACATTATTTTTGGTGTTAATTAAAAATTACCTTTTTGTCAGGCCATGGAGTTTAGGGGTCTACATTGTAAAAATGACATGCACCGTATTCTACATTTCACACCTTCACAGTTTGCTCTTTTTCAACGTGTCTTGAGTAAAATGTCTTTAATCTTTCCTATCGGCCTCTCTTGGCTAACTCTTGTTTTTCCGACCCCGAGTGGCTATTAGGGTAATCCGAGGGCAAACGGGTCACCATCATTCTGTCTACTACACTCTACTACTCTTCTCTCGACTAAGTAAGTAAACCCTAACAGAAAATCCTGTTCCTCCTGGTAGGGGGTTGAGACGTAGGGTTTGCTTCTCTACACCCGTGAAAAACTTACTGCAAAAAATTCTAAAATTCAGCCTCGGAATATGGACGGGAAAAAACGAAGAAGACGTAGCAAACAAACAGGGACTTTGAAAATACATACATGGAATATCCAAGGGTGGAGAACCAAGTCAGACGAAGTCATGGCAGAAGTAAAGAAAATAAAATCAGATATCACGGTTCTTACCAAAACAAAGAAAAAAGGCCAAGGTAGTGAAGATATAGGAGGTTTTATACATATTTACAGTGGAGTAGAGAAAGACAAAAGAGCACAAGCAGGGGTATCAATATTCATAAAAAAAAGACTTAAAAGGAAACTTGAAAATCTGGGATCAGATCAATGAAATAATTATTACAGTATCTATTACATGGAAAGCGTATCGACCTCGAGATCATTGGAATATATGCTCTGTCAGAAAATGCGTCAAAAGCAGTTAAACAAATATTCTACGAAACTTTATCGGAACTCCAAGTCAAGCAAGATCAGCCACCAGACAGCTACACGGACTATTATGGAATAAAAAAATAACAAAATAAAATAAAAGAAGAAGTTATAAAACAATAATAGAAAGTATTGGGCTTTATGGCGCCAAACTCTGGGAAATAAATCAAAGACATCAATCAAAAATTAAGGCTATGGAAACGAACTACTGGAGACGATGTTGCCAGCTCACTAGACTTGATAGGGTGAGAAACGAAGATATTCGGAGAGAAATGGAAATCGATCTAGACATAATAGACACAACTGAAGCCAAAAGACTTAACTGGTATGGACACCTTCAGAGAATGTTTGAAAATACATAACTAAAAAACAATTGAAGAACGGACTCCTCTAACCAGAAGAAAACGAGGTAGACCAAGACGATCCTGGAGAGACGATGTCGACGATGTATTGACCGCCAGAGATCTAACAACTGAAGATTGCTTCGACAGAAACGCTGGAAAATAGGATGTGAGAATATATATATATATATATATATATATATATATATATATATATATATATATATATATATATATAAATTTGCGTGACTTGAAAGATATTTTGATGTCATCAAGTATAGAAATAAAATGTTTTGATATTTTTTGGAAATATTACAGATATAAGTAAAGGAAAAAAACCTGATGTTTATTGTGGCATTGGGTTAAAGCAAAAATTGTAATAAATAAGCAAGACATTTTTTTGTAAGTTTGCTCCATTAAGAAGCTTATAGATGATGTTATGATCATTACGATTATTAAAAGCGATTTGATTAAGAGGACCAAGTTCTAAAGTAGAGTTCTCATTGGAAAGTAAAAATTTGAGAAGCTTATAAATGTACTTGTTGAAAGCAGCCTTTTGTATTGGGTTGGACGATTAATTCTTTTATAGATAATATGATCTGATTGAGTGGGTTTTCTGTAAATATTGTACTCTGGAGAATCTTTTTACGAGATATACTCATATTCTAGAAGTTCAACTAATTGTCAGATTCTGGTTCCAGTGTAAAAGAGATAGAATGGAGTTTATTGAAATCATTTAGAACATTAAGGTATCATCTTGAGTTCTCTGTATAAGAGCTATACAATCATCAACATATCTAGACCAGAAAACTATTTTGTTGTTAAAAAATGTTTTCTGTTCTAAGCTGTCTAAGAAAATATTAGCTAAAAAAATAGCCAAAAATGTAACAGTTACCTTCAATTTATCAAAAGTAAAATTTTTTTCTTACTGAATTTTTTCTTTGTAATATATTAGCAGTACTGGGTTTGATTGTTTTTTTAAAGGGTCTACTTACATTTAACGTCGACATGAACCCTGATAGGTTGCGAATCTCCGGCTTTGTTACGTGCATGGCATGTATAAAGGCCGGAATGTTGTCTAATAGCAGGAGTAAATTGCAAAAGTTCCTGCAAACTCGCCGGTTGATTCTGACCCTCGCGCCGCCACACGACCGACGCTCTTGGATTGGCGGTGACCTCGCATCTGATTGTAATCGAATCCTTGAGGTCTTCGACGTCAGTCGTGGGGATGCCGGTTAGACGCGTCTCTGGCACATCTGGAACAAGGGGCATAGTTAGTTAATTAGATCTATGGATATATATCAAAACATATTTCCGATATATTAAAAATTTCCACTGGCTGTAAATTTGTACAGTTTAATCGCTCAATGTCATAACAGTTTATTCAATAAATGTTTTACCTTTTCAGATTAAATATAAAATCATCGACATAAATGATAGCTGCACTGTGCTGAAAAGGTAGTCTAAAATAATATTTTGTGTATGAATGGGGATGAGTAGTATAAATTCAACAATTTAAATTTCTGTAGACTTTTGAATTGTTGTGATACTTATTTGTTAACAAAATAAAATATGTTTATTTTTTTGTAATAAGAAATTAAAAAAATGTTTTTTGCAGAATTGTGAATCATCGCATACACAATTGTTATTGCTGTTGTCGCTATAACGCTATATGTCGCTATAAGTTCGAGGTGTAAATTAGATTTATTCATTTAATTTTTTATTGTAATAAGTTGTAGCATAATCTTTTTCCTTTATATATCGAATATTTAAACATAAAAATAGTTTTTATACATAAAAAACGAAAGGCTAATAAAAGTTGAGATGAAGCTAAAAGGACGTGATATAGTGGTAGTGGGCGCATATGCACCTTCTGAAGATGAAAAGGAGGAGGTAAAGAATAAATTTTACGACGAATTGACGGACCTGCTAGAGAGTATTGGAACTAGGAAGGAAGTAAATCTACTAGGTGACTTAAATGCTAGAACCGAAAGAAAAGTAAATATCAAAGTGGTTGGTCCATTTGAAGAAGAAAAAATAAATAAAAACAGTGAAAGAATAATAGGTTTCTGCGATCATATGAACTTAAAGATAATGAATAGATATTATCAGCACAAGGATATTCATAAATTCACATGGATTCAGCCAACGAGGAATTTGAAATCAATAATCGATTACTGTATATGCAAAGAAAACTCCACAATAAAGGTTAATAACTTTAGAGTCGATCAAGGAGCAGAATGTGGATCTGATCACCATTTGCTTAAAGCGTCACTACTATTTACATTTAAAGAAAGTCAACGATAAAAAGAAAACGAAAGTTTGATGATACTGCAAGACATTTCAACAAAGAGATATAATCTACAAGGTTTTGAAAATGAGTCTACCCAGTTCCTGTATCGAATGAGGTTAAATCTGAAATTGCACGATGTTTGTTACTAATCACCAATTAATACGTACAACGAAATTATAAAAGCTCTTACAAAGCTGCACTGGAAGTTATTGAAGAAGTCGCCTTTATTTATACAAAAATAAAGGCGACAGAAAAGATACAATCTTTTGGCTACCGAGGGCTTAGTGTAACTAACTTAATCTGTAGAGTCTACGGAAAGATAATTAAAAGCCGAATTGAAGATTGTTGTGAAGACGCTGAAGATCAGAGTGGCTTTCGTACTGGCTGTTCTTGTATAGACAATGTGTTCTGCCTAAAACAAACAATAGAAAAGCGTTTGGAACATAATATGGAGATACACATGGTATTTATTAATCTTTAAAAAGCGTATGACAGTGTCCCATTAGCCAAGCTATGGCAGGTGCTAGAATACAAGAATATCCAACCGATTTACATTAATGCTGTAAGGGAGTTGTACGATGATGTGACGAGTGTAATAAAGATTGGACAAAAAGTGACAAAAAAGATAAAAGTAACCAAAGGACTTCGTCAGGGCTGCTGCATTGCACCTACACTCTTTAAGATTTATTTGGAGGGTGTTTTGGATATTTGGAAAAGAAAATGTGAACCTATGAGTGTTAAAATTGGAGACCATACCCTGTACAGCTTGCATTTTACTGATGACCAAGTAATACTTGCAGAAGATCAGGATGATATCCACTACATGTTACGAAAAATAGATGAAAAATATACTAAGTGGGGCTTATCAACTAATTCATCAAAAACAGAGTACGTAGTAGTAGGAGGTGAAGGAAAGCAATTAGAACTAGAAAGCAAACAAATTCAAAATACTGATAGCTATAAATATCTCGGTGTAAACATTACAAACAATGGTCGGAATACAAAAGAAATAGCTACTAGAATTGGTCAAGGAAATTCAGCAATACGCCAACTCAATAGTATACTTTGGAATAACCACATCACCCGAAACACAAAAATTAGGATATACAAAAGTATCATAGAAAGCATTGCCACATATGGTTCAGAGCTTTGGGTAATAAATAAAAATGTCGCATCCAAAATAAAAGCAATGGAAATGAATTATTGTAGAAGATCTTGCCAACTCACTAGAAGAGATAGAGTAAGGAATACTGAAATCAGAGAGCGTATGGGCATGGACATTGACATCCTGGAAACTATAGAATGCAAAAGGCTGAAATGGTATGGCCATGTAGAAAGAATGAATGATCAACGATGGCCAAAGAGAATATTAGAGTGGATCCCCACCAATCGCAGAAAAAAGGGAAGACCAAGAAGATCGTGGAGACGTTGAAAGCTAGGTTGCGAGAAACGGCGGCAGCTGTAATAAACTCGTTATATATAAAAAGAGTTTTTTTGATACACCTCTGGCTGATAGTTCATAATAATCTGAAGATTGTTGACTTAAAAGCTCCTTGCTAATAAGTCACAGAGACCCAAAGATGTTTATCCAAGTGTAGTTATCTGTTAAAAATATTAACTGCGTAATTGTCGAGTACGAGCCACCCCGTTTTAAACGCGATTTAATTTAAATAAGTTCACACAAAAGGGAGAAACCTGGATTGACAACGAAGTAAAAACTTGTACATGGAGACAAGTTTACGGGGTGAGCAGATAAAGTTTGGTAGAAGCGGAGAGAACAGATTGGGGTCTGAATGGAAAAACATGGTTCTCAGTAGAGAGTTTTAAAAAAATCGGCAAATTTTTGTTTAATTCTATGAGTTTTGGTTAGAAGAAGGTGATTTAACCCCAAAATGCTAGTTGGAAGTCTTTGTAAAGTAAGATAACGGTTTGTTGTTGTAATCCTTGTCAAAGTATTTTGAAACACCGTTTCTGAGAGCTTAGTGGGCCGAGATGGTTTTAAAAAAATAGGCAGCCGAATTTAAAAAATACATATTGTTATCATCAGGATAACCAGAAATCCAATTCAGTGTTTGACTTCCCCAAGATTTGTCCAGCTCCCATTTTGTCTCCTAGGGGTCGAATCCAGATTGATTGTGTGGGACAGTGTTTTTTTGTATCCAATTCCAAGGTAACAAACTTTTATAATAACTTGAAAATAAATATTCAGCAAGTAAAGCAATGTAGTTATAGTAGAAATAGTGTAAAATTTTTCGAAATAAAATAAACATTATTTGGTAATATACTAAGATTTGCTTTCATGTCAAATTAAACAGTTATAATTACAAATAAGCATCAAGGGTCAGCTAATTGTCATATTTTAGTTTTTTTAAATAAAGTTAACCTTGATAATTATTTATTAATTTAGAAAATTTTCATATTTAATTTTGACATATGACAGTTATCCTTTTCTGTCATTTGGTACATAACCAAAATTTTAAAGTCTGTTGTGTTAGTTGGTTCAATGTAACAATTAATGATAAACATAGCCTAAAATTCTGTTTTGGTAAAAAGTTAAAACTCAATGTAAGATTTGTTGATAAATTTAGATAATTTTATTTGTAATATAACTGTTTATATGAAATAAAAATGCGAAACACCGCGTTACCTGCTAAACACCAATGCACAAGGGTCTTCAACAGCAATAAAAATAACAAGACCACATTGGTCTGAAACAATATCTGGTTGATAGTTTCCAGCGTGGTAAAGTCACAACTTTATATTTTAAGAACATTTTAAGAATATTAGAATTTAGAAAAATTAGAACGTTAATAATTCTTTGGGATAAAACTTAAGAGGTCGCTGGTGAAATGATATTAGATAAATAATTATAAAGAAAAAATGCAATATTTGTTTGTAAATAAATTAGCGAAAAATAGCAACTATTAATTGTGAATGAATTATGAAATTAACTGGTTTTACTCATTATTGTTGTTTGTACAAAGAACATAGACATACCCTTTGGTTCTATTGATGTATTCGTAACAAGCTGAAGAGTTGGTGGCGGTACCAGCGCCCGGGACGGACGACGAGGCTATTAACACGAGACCGGTAAATGGTGCGTTTCGTTCACGGTCTTACGAAGAAGTAGATGTCTTGAGATCGTTACTAGGTCAGCTCATGTGCCAGATTGGGTGGTCAACAGCTCGTGTGCCAGAGCATGCCATAAATCAACCCTATTGTCGGGCGATTTTGAATGGCGATAATTTAAAGTTAATTTTTGACCCAGAATACAAAGGAGAGCCAAATTTTTCGTACTTCCAACATCATAAATGAGATTTTTTACGAAGTAAAAGTTTTAGTTCAGTGCCAGTTTAAGTTTTACGAAATAACAGGAAATATTATATTTTAAAAAGGGCGTTAGAATACAGCATTAAATAAGATCACATTACAGTATCGTAACAGAAAATATTAAATATAAAAATATGAAACAAAATAATACATACTTTCCCAAACAATAATATATAAATAATATTTTGAGAATATGTTGTAAATTATGAATTATCTTTACGAGCTATCGGTAGATCACTACCGATGTTTGGCATTAAAAAACTGAGGGAAATTAGTCAGTAAGTAATTTATTACTGTTATAAACATTGTTGTTAACTAGGTTAGAATTAAATAATTAACCATTCTTTATTAATATGGTTTAATTAAAATATACGAGGATACACGCATAAGTAATATTCATGTAGACGAATTATTCTTTTCTACAAAACCTAAGTACCTATTCTAAAACGACAGAGTAAACTTCTCTAAAAAAATTGTCCGATTAAAAACTTAAAATTAAAAATAAATCTACCTGTTTAATGCAACCCTGCTTAAAGTTAAATATTGAAACGAAAACCGCAAATTCCTATATAATGGTATTTCTCATAGTAATGCATCGAACAAATATGGAAGTATTTATTACCCTTTATTCTATTTAGATGCCATTAAT